GACACTCAACTCACCTGTCTAACAATGCAACCGAAGGAACGTGATCAATAAGAATGTGTGGCTGTGGCCCGGCGTAGCTCTACTAAAGGCCAGACCGTTGGCCCGCGCCGAGCAGGGCGGCCGAGTAGCTGTTGCCTATGGGGATTCGGAGATAGGTCACCAGTCTCGCCGATAGGAGCAGGACCCAGTGCAAACGCAGAGTTTTCTCCAACGTGTTCAGAGCGACCGCCGCCACCGACCAGGCCGCGACCCCTTAAGTCTGCTTCGCACGAAACAGAAAAGGTCTAGCTGTTCTCCATCTGTTGTCCTCTCTCGCCGGTTCCCTTCTGCTGGTTCTGGGTGTCCACATGAGCGAGCTAAAGCGACTTCATCATCCTGCGCGATACCAGTGACCAGCAACACCTGCTCTCGCAGTATGGTCAGTGTGCTCCATTCTTTTTCTCCTTGTCACTAAGCAACGCACGTTCCAACATCTTAGCCAGTAATAAGAGCAGGTGCGACTTCATTGGCAGCCACGGCGCATGGCGGCTTGCTACTGCCTCCTGCTCGAATGACGCCTCTTTGGCAGATGCAAACACTTCGCAGTCCTGGTGGACACCAACCGCTGGCAGGCACAAAAACGTCCTACAGATGACACGAGACGCTGGTACACACCATGCACGTTAGTGCAGCACCGTCCTAATCGGGACATGCATTTTTTTACGACGATGGGACTAAGGGCGTCCAGGGGACACAAATTACACACACACACATTCTCCAGCTCCCCAGCACGCGCCATCGAACGCACTCAGCACCTGTTGCTCTTGCCCCTTCCCCAAAACCCTGGCCGGAGCTTGAGTGTGGCACTCCCCCTCCCCTTCTCCTTCCGACGTCAGCAGGCCGGTGTCAACCGAGGTCAAACACGGCGCCGCTTCGCTGGCGTGGGAGAGGGGAGCCGGCCTACTGGCGCAGAAGGCCACAGAAGGACCCGGGCTGCGCGTGTTTGCTCAACTCATAAGGATGGTTTAATTGGGGT